TAGCTCTTTCTCTGTGTTGTGGGACTGTAAATGTGCGTCAGAGAGGGCCCCAGTCACACCCGGACAGAAGTGTTTAAGGATGTGAGAAAATGTGGGGGTCCTGTGAAGGCCCAAAGAAGGAGAAGACCACTCAACTCATAAATAAACACAGTACATTTAAAAGTGTGAAGATACAAGAAACAGAACTGCTTTAAGCCCTAACCCTAACGATAATGCTAACCCTGATGATAATGCTAACCCTAATGATAATGCTAACCCTAATGATAATGCTAACCCTAACGATAACGCTAACCCTAATAATAATGCTAACCCTAACGATAATGCTAATCGTAACCCTAACTACTAACCCACATGGTCAGTGTAGGTTAGTAGTTAGTTTGATGTTGAAAAAGGTCATGTATAAAAAGGACAAATAAGTGCTTAATAAATACCAACTAAGAGCCAAGTAACCATGAATTATAGACTAATTGGCACTTAACTAGCTGTTAATTAGTGAGGGCTGACCTGAAGCGTTATCAAGGTCTTATTCATGCCAAAATATGCAGCAAAGAAATACATGTATAATTTTGAAAGGTGTTTTGTTTTTGCGTGCGACGCTGGAGGCTGGATCACAGTGAGTGAAGCTGACAGCAGACCTTTCCAAGTGTCAGCGCAGAGTTTGCTGTGGGCATTAGGGGCCTCTACTGCTGGCACACGTTCAACATCAGCATCGTCATCAGCAGTGTATGAAGAGGAGTTACATATGTCGCGCACAACATAAAACAGTGCCTTTGTGTGTCACTTACCTCCTTCACATCCTCGGCCTGAAGCGTTTACAGCAAGTGTGTAGCTTAAAATAAGATAATGTTACAATCGTTTATGAACATTGGTCATCTGCCCCTTATGGCTCTATGTGGTTGTTATCATGGCATTTCCGGTGATTGAACTGTTTAAATCTCAGATCTGTGTGTTATCAAATATCTCTTCAAAAAAGTTTTATTTTCAAAATCATTACAATTTATTGTTGTGGTTTTTTTGTGTAAACAATGTGTAAAAATAGTAAGTGCTAAAGATAAAGATAAACCATATCATGTAGCCATACCTGCAAATGAAAGACAGATCTTGTCAGACCTCTGTAGCTTAAAGGGCAAGGCCTGGTTAGTGCTGTGATGGGAGACCTCTGGGAACAGCAGGTGCCACAGTGGGGCGGCTGCGGCTGTAGAGTGCAAATCTGCTGTTTGGAAAGACACTTCACCCACATTAGAATGAGTCTGGTGTGTGTGTGAATTGTTGGTGGTGGTGGGAGGGGCCAATGGTACATTGCCTCTCACTTTTTTCAATGTGCCCCAGGGCAGCTGTAGCTACTGCAGTACTATATCACAACCATGTATGGAGTGAATGAATGATGACATGCGAAACGTTAAACCGATACATTACTATTATCATTATAACAGTTTGAAAAAGGATTGGACAAAGCAGACGCCTTTTTGTTTCCAACCCCTCCTCAATCGCTTTCTTACTTATCTAGTGCTTTAAAAAAGGATATTTTAAATGAATCATGGATGAAGATGTTTTCAATTAATTCATGTGTGAAAGTTTTTCTACTCGCCCCCTTCATGCATGTTTTTATGAGAAAATAATGAGACCATAATAATGATGTCCTGATAAAGCTTTGAGATACACATTGTTTTCAAAGTACAGTACTTAGAAACACAAATCTGAGATGCTGTTTACATGAAGGCATGAAGAGGTGAAAACACGAGCGTTGAGAAACAGCCACCAGAGTGGAACAGAACAGATACGCTGCGAGGCGGGGGCTGTTTCACAGACGTGTGATGAAAAAGATGTAAATTCTCTGCCTGCCATGACTTCACCACTTCCCCGCACGTACATTTGGACATGTACATTAGCCAGGAACAAACATAAACAACATTAGCAGATCAACTAGCGCTACAATGCTACGTGTGCTTCAAGCACTACACGGAGGTGAGTTCCACTCTTTTGTCTGGCCAAATGAAACAACTCAAAGCTGTAGTTTCAGTTTCCATTTTTGCTGCTGCTGTTAAATACAGAGTGATGTTGGTGCATTCTTTCCCGTCTTTGCCAAGGCCTGAGGAGGATGTTGTTAAGGAAATGATTGTACTGCCGGGGGTCGCGTGTTTTGTGTTTTAACATTCTACTGCCCACTACTGGCCAGGCGCTAGAACTACATTGTTTTCCATCGTTGTGTAAACACAGTAGACTTCAAATAAGGAGCCTGGTCGTTTTTTTTCATTGCTTTGCAGCGACTCCAAACCATCTCTGTCTAAACCGGGCCTGATAGGATCTATTTAATAATAGTCAGACGCAGCAACTGAGACCCCCTTCCTCATTTAAATGCAAAACGTGCTCCAAGCAATTCCAAATATTCCTTGTGCCATCACGTTTCTCTAATCTTACCAGTCTTTCTAGTGTTTGAATTTCAGCCTTTGGATTTTAATACAAAATTCCAATTATAACCAAGCACTGAGCTGTTAGCCGTGGTTAGGATCAACAGGAGAGGGCAGCGGGCTAAAGAGAGCACACAAACAAAACACAAACAAATCAAGTTAAAAATGTGGTAGCTACAGAAAACCCTGTGTTGCAATACTTTGAAGAGGTATACTTTATGGCAGGTCTATTCAACTTATATTTTACCCAAGGGAAGAATGGTTTTTGCATGGCTTCCTGCGGATCAGAGAACATACTTTACAGCAGCTCAGCTTGTGTACAAGTCTCTCCATGGCCTCACGGCAAAGTACATCTCTGACATGTTAGTGCCATATGAACCAACTCGGACGCTGAGGAGCACAGGAACTGTCCTCCTGCTGGTGCTCTTCAGAATCAGAGCTAAATATGGGGAGGCAGCGTTTCAGATGTATGCAGCCAGTCTTCCTTAAAATTTTAGAACAGGATTCTTCTCTGACAATGATCAAATCCAGGTTTAAACAGATGGGTCAGCTGCAACAACTGAGGGATTGTATCATTACTCTTTTAAATACACTGTAATTATGTAAGATAGACACCTGCATTGTTTCTGTCTTGTTTGGTTCAGCACTTTGAGTTGCCTTGTGTATGAACTGTGCTATTCAAAAAACCTTGCCTTGGTTAGTGTGGGGCTGAATTGATTAACCATGGCTGTTTTGATGCCACAATCACACCAAAAGGGACACATAGTCATAATTTCGATAAAAATCCAGTGGAATAGTTTCACGCTTCATTTCGCTGTTCATCCTTCCTCAACCCAACAGTTAGAAATTGTCTCAGCGGGTCTTTTCCACCGCAGTCGTCTTCCCCGGTGGATCTTTGGAAAAAAGCATTTATACTTCTCCGGCGCAGATGAAGACGCGTACTTGCATAAATGCCCTCTAAGATTGCCCCACAGTCCACATCGCCCACCCGCTTCTGCTTCATCTGCAATCAGCGCCGTCTCGTTTCGCCCATTTAGTGTAGCATTAGGCTTCCCCAGCTGCTTCTGCCGCTGTCTCCCCGCGCTACCATTTCCACACAACACAAACTGCCCAGACGGGGATGGAGCGTCTTGGAGTGAACCTACGGGCTGTTAATAAAGCATTATGAAGCGTCGGGAACATTAACCCTCGTGGAGCCAAATGGGGTTGAGCTTGGGTTGAGTTTGCACCGAATGCTCTGATCCCCCTGACCCTGATGGGAGGGGTGAGGAGGGGGTGAGGAGGGTGGCGTCTGTGGAGAATACAGATCAGCCTCCTACATGCCCTGAACCCTGGCCTCCGTGCTCATTACTTCCCACTTCTGCTTTCCAGGGAAGTATAGCGGGCCAATAAACCTCAATTTCAGGTGAGGCCGTGAAGAAAATACCGCACTTTTATGGCTAAGTTGTTTTGCGAGTTGAGTGTTGCCCCGTTGTTGTGGTTTTCTGTGTAATCAGCTTTTCTGACGGCTCGAGGCTGCAGGATGTCTCTGTTGTAGCTTTTAATGTAAGAGTTAATAAACTGCCGTCCTGCGTATCAGCTGCAGTAATTGCCTACAGGAAGACTAATTCCATAGTCAATCAAACTGATGGTTTATTTTGGGCCATTTAGAAGATGCAGAGCCTCAACTTAATAAGGAATGTCTGGAGGCACCCGACCAAAATCCAATATCTCTGCAGAGTTAACAATTAATGAACAACAATAAATAACAATGAGACTGCCCTTATTTTCATGTTTCCCACCTGCTTTGCGGACTCCTGCTGGAAATGTCTTTCTCCCCATGTCCACAAAGCATACATGGAAAACAGAGGAATAGCACCATATGTTTATGTAATGTCACTGTTTCATTCCCAATTCATAAACCTGCATGGACTTTGCACCTTTACTCTGTTAATACTTTCACTGTAGAACAAAATGTATTATTTTGGAAAAGAAGCTTTAGTCTTTATTACGTTAGAGATATTTGTCTGACTTGAATCTTCAGGCTTCTTCTGCAGTCTAGCCTCACATGCACATACAACTACCATTCATAATGTATTATAAAAAGGGCATTTTTGATGTTTGTATAATGCAAAATTATTCAGCATATTTGTCTAAATCCTACGGGGAGCTATTTGGAAAGGGCTGGCGAGCTACTGGTTGCTCCTGAGCCTCTGGTTGGAGACTTCTGCCGTAGAATAACAGTAAAAAGCACACTGCAGGTCGCTAGTTTTTAATGTCATTTAAATAAGTAGTCAGATAAAAATAAAGAAATATATATTCAGATTTGAAATACTCTTTTACGATAGATATCTGTAAACTAAAAAGTTAATTATTTTTGGTGTGGAATAAGAGTGACGAGCAGACTGCATGTTTCAGCTCTAACCCCATGACTAAAGTTCTCTTTGGAGTGGTCACTGAGAAGCAGTGTTGGGGAAGTTACTTCTAAAAAGTAACTTGTTACTTTACTTTGTTACTTTCTAAATAACTTATCTGCGTTATGTGGTGGACACTAGGGGTCGCCACCGCCACAGTGTTGGTACTTGCCTGGCATCCGGGGGAGCTGAGCATAAAATGGCGGCTCACGTTCTCGGCTCCCTGCTCGCTGGTGTCAGGTAAGGTTTTAACTCCCCCCACTCCCCCCCCTTATTTTAACAAACGTATGGTTTTTAATGTAGTTTTAATCATCTGTGTAGGGCTGGATCACCCGGTGGCAAACTTCCCCTGGGAATTGTAATCAGAGTATTGAGGTGAGGACAGGTTTGGGTTTTTAACTTGGTTTTTAGCCTCATTGATTTTTAACCGTCCCTATTCTTTTAATTTCAGGAGTAGCCTGCTACTGTTTTTGTGCTGGGTTTTAGACTATCGTTTTCATGCGGGTTTTCATTCCTGGTTCAGTTTTAATTCTAGCACTGCACTTTTAAATAATGGTTTTAGGTTTTAATGTTGTAGACTCTGGGGCTTAAGCGAGTAATTTATTAATATTTAGTTCTCCCGGGGCGCGCCTGAGGGGGACCTAGCCCAGTGTTTTTCACTTATTGGCACAATTGGGTTTTCAGTTGTTTTGTTGTGAGTGAAGGTAGCACTTTCTGTTTTGTTAAGGGTCGGGCTACTCCCCGTGCAGGTCGCCCTCGTTGGATTTATTTAGTTAGTTATTAGTTTATTTTAGCGTATTGATTTTTCATGGTGCCCAGGGACTGCAACTTTTAAACCTTTTTGTGACTTTATATTTTGACCTTTTAACATTACATTGAAATTAATTAAATCTTTTCAAAAATTTTAATTGCTCCAGCTTTTTTAATACAAATTTTAATCGCACATTTTAAGTCTTGTTTCTGTCGTTTGTTTACATACTTACCTGTGTCCTTGGTTTTAGTTCCTGGTTTTATTTACTCTTACTTTGAACTTTTAAAAAGGTACCTCAGGTGACATTTACTTTTGCGTTACTTTTGTTTTTATGCGTGACTTTGAGCAGGACTGTTCTTAGATGTGTTGTAGCAGTTCTATTGTGAATATTATAACAGATATTTCTTTCATGCTCCTTCTGATCAAAAACACCACAGAGAAAGTAACATGGGGTTGTTGTATTTCATGAACACCGCTCTCACTTGGGGGAATCGCTTTAAGACCTCTAACCATGACCCTAATATACTCGAGTACCTCAGCGTCTGCGCTGAAGGACGTTGTGTCTTTCTCCTCATCAAAATAAAAAAATCTGCCTCACCAGGGCTGCTGCGTCAACTTTACCCGACACCCAGGATGAGCAACGCCGCCGCTTGCTTCACACATAATGCGTCACACACCAAGTGGAATGAGAACTTATTGTGTGCGAGTCGTGTGTTATGCTACTATATTGTTCATAGTTTACGCGTTAATTTACTTTTTTCTGGAAAAAAAAGTTGTTTTGTTAGAAAGTAACAAACAAAGTTACTTTCTAACTCGTTACTTTCTGACTCGTTACACCCGACACTGCTGTGAAGTAATGTTCCCTCACACTATACACCGGGGAAGATAGGCTGCTTCTTAAGGAACAGCACGTTTTAAGAAGCTTTATTGGTTAAATGTAACAAAGAAATTTAAAACATGAGAGCTTCAGTTGAAGTTCCAGGTCGGTGGTGGTGGAGATAGGAACATCCGAGTCGATGATGGTTTTAAATATAAGTTAAATGATAATAAATCGAAGAATTGCCCCAAAATACCACAGCAGTATTTTACTTCCTGGATCGTCAAGATCCAGGAAGTAAAATAAAAATCCAAAACATTTTCACCAGTTGTCACACATATGTCTTTTTAGCCTTTGTCACATCCTTAGATCAGCTGCTTGGATTTGTCCAAAACATTCCTGTTTAGTTTAGTTAAAGCTGAGGTACCTATCTTTCAAACCACGAACACTGAAACAACCGCAAATTCCATGAAGCTCGTTCCGCCCTCTCAAAACGCTTTGTTTCTATCACTAGTTTTCACACATATGTATTTTTTCTTCAGATCTGCTTTGTCAGATGGAAAAAGAAAACGGAGAAGACCACCCTCACTCAGCTCTTTGCCCAAAGTGTCTAATAGTGACACACATTATTTGACCGACATAACAAGATCATGACAGCCAGTTTATCGTCTGATATATTCACAAAATGTCACTTTTCCAGCCTCTCTCTTTCTGTTTGGGCAATGCAGGAAATTGGATTATTTATGGAGAAAGGTACACCAGCTTTACACAGTTGCACTTCTTGTCAGGTCAAGAATCACCATGATTTTACCGGCACAAAGGTTGACGATGCTGTGCTAATTCCTGAGTGCCGCCGCGGTGACACCTCCCAACGCCGCGGCGAGACGGTCCAGATGTGTGCACTCAGACAAAGCCCACTTCATCATAATGGCGCTCTGTCACAGCGGAGTGAAGCCTCTTGTAATGAATAATTATAGCTCTGGGAAGGTACATGGAGGAATACAAAACATTGGAGGGGGCGACCATCAAGGAAACAGGTGTGTGCAATGAATTATACATCTGGAGAAATGCCACAGCGCTTCACATGAATACGTCTTCGATTTGAGATCTCTCTACTGTCTGGAGGAGTGGGATTGATGTGGGTGACCGTTCAAATAAGTTTGGAAAGAGATTGAAAGGTGAATAAAGATTTGAAAAATGTTATATAAACTGAATAAAGCGTGGGTAAGTATATGACAGAAGAATTCTCAAATGTGTTGTTCGTATTGGTTGATGTAAAGGTGGTCTATCTAATGGTCGATGTACAGTGTGGTCTGCTGGCGCAGCAGCATCACAGAGAGGGACAGGAAGAAGCTGGACAAGGTCATCAGGAAGTCCAGCTCAGTCCTGGACTGTTCCCTGGACACAGTGCAGCAGGTGGGGGACAGGAGGGTCCTGAGCAAACTAACATCTATGCTGGACCATGACTGTCACCCCCTGCAGGACACTCTCTCTGCTCTGGAGAGCAGCTTCAGTGACAGACTTATTCCAGTCCTTCCTTCCTGCTGCTGTCAGACTGTACAACGAGAATGTGTAACAGGAACTGCTGAGTCTGTAAAAGTGTCACTGATAGTTCACTAGAAACTTTGTCACTAATCACTTTACCTGTTATCAGTACTGCTGCATTATTACATATCTGATATTTCTGCCTTTCAAATCACTTCAACCGTTGATATTTGACTGTATTATTCATATCCATCTGATAATTCTCCCATTCAAGTCACTTTACCTGTTGATATTATTTCTGATGTTTATTCTGCTCATATTCATATTCTCATATTCTCCGCTGCTAAAGTACAATATACACAACTGTAAATACTTCTGACCCAAGTGCAATTACAGCCCAGAGTTTATCTCATTTTATTGTATTTTTATGTTAATTTTATTGTCTATTTTGATGTGTGCAATCTGAGTGCTCTAATTTCCTTTCTCTGCTGTAATATGCACAACGATGATACTGAAATTTCTACACTGTGAGACTAACAAAGGTTTATCTTATCTTATCATACAATACATCAATTCAAATCAATGTTCATTTAAATTAGTTTTTATATAGCTCTAAATCATAACACTAGTTTTCTGGGAGGACTTAAAAAAACTTCTCATGATTCTCTCATCAAACAGTTCAAAAACAAGAAATGCAATGATAAAAAAACACAGAACCATTGGTCCGTAAGGGGCAGATGTTGAGGATCCTGGATCATTACCACTGTCCTTAGACCCTCCTGCATCGACAAAGAAAAACAAATATCAGAAAAGAGACATTATTGTACTGGGATTTTTCTGCCTCCCACTCGATAACACAATATTTTGTATCCCTCTAAACTCTATATCTATGTTGTCTTTGTGTCCTTGATGTTAGGTGCACCGAGGCGGCAGGTCACTGTGGTTGAAGCCACAGGCCTGGTGTCCTGTGTCGCCCCTGACACCAGTGGACCTGTTAATAAAGCCACTGCACACTGAGATCAAAGAGCAGATTGGACAGTCTGTGTGACGATACAGGGCGACATATGCTGCAACCAACAACCACAGCAACTGCACACATTGTTAAACCAGTTCTGAATACAATGCTGCGTTGCTTTTCTTTCATGGAATTACAACTTTGGTATAATGAGATTTGACTGTTAAAACAAAAGCAGATTGCTACTGATTAGTCCTTAAGGTCATTGGAGTTAGGGAGAATCCGTCATTGCAACAGATACTTGAAATAACTCTCACATGGTCTTTACTCTCAGGATGAGCTTTTTGCTACAGAGAACCAATAGAAAATAAGAAAACCTAAACCGATATAAGAATTGGCCATAGAGAGACCAGAGAGAGATCAGAGAAAAAGAGACCAGAGAGAGACCAGATACAGACCGGAGAAAGATCAGAGAGAGACCAGATAACGGTCAGAGAGAGATACTAGAGAAGCCAGAGACCAGAGAGAAAAACCAGGGAGAGATCAGAGTGAGAATACAGGCCATGGCCACTGCTCTCCTCAAAATAACAAACAACATTCTCCTTTCTGCTGACTCCGACTCACTATTCATCCTCCGTGCTTGATCTGAGCTTTGCCTCTCCCTCACTCCACAGTCCACTGCAGTCCTGGTTCCAAGTCTCGTCACTTCCCATCTGGATTACTGCAATTCTCTTCTGTTTGGTCTCCTTCAGAAAACTCTACACAAACTACAACTGGATCAAAACTGTGCAAAACCTCTCATCACACAAACTCCCTCCATTAAACAAATCACCCCTGTACCACAACAACTATTCTGGCTCCCCAATGCCCACGACATCCAGTACAAAATACTGCTTCACACCTTCAAAGCTATTCACAAACTTGGCCCATCTATATCTCGTTGAGCTCTTCCATATCTCTACACCTACCCACTCCCTTCGCTCCTTCTGCTCCCTCTGCTCCTCCTGCGGCCTGTGCTCCTCCTGCTCCCTCCGGTTCTCAATCCCACACTTCCAAATCGCACTTAAAACTTAAAACCTGTTCAGACTGGCCTATTCTCTATGACCCACCATTTCACTGTCCATTTTAACTGTTATTGGTTTTAATATTTTTTTATTCGAACTGTTTTGGCTTTTAACTGTTTTGATTTTAACCATGTACCCTTTGTATTATTATTATTATTATTATTATTATTATTAATATGAAGCAGAGCAGTCATGGTTTATGTTTCTGTTACTGTACAGTGTTCTGTATATGTATTTTACAGTAGCAGCCTTTGAGTCCAATACACATTTCCTCTGAGACAAAATCAATTAATCTTGAATCCCGCACCTTGTTCAACCCAAGAGTTTACTTTAGCTCATAGATTCCTTTCAATGCCCATATCACAACTATGTGATATAGGCTATCCACTCACAGTGAGATCCAGTAAATACGGTATACGTGTGTGGAAAAGGCTTCAAGGCAGGTCAAAAGGTTTTGGACGTAGGCTAAGCAACAGTTCTGATACATGATTTTTTCAGGGCAGTGAAAACTTGTCTTCAGTTGTGTTCCATTGACTCTGCAAGAAAAACCACAACATGTTCAATTATTCCTCACACAAACTTGTATAGTACTTGCACTATTTTTGTAAAGTTGTGTCAGGACTTTACACAAGTAGTAGCCATACATGCAGATGAAAGCCAGAGCCCATCAGACCACTTTTCAGGACACTCAAAGACTCATTCACTCCTTACATAGTGATGATAAACTACTACTGTAGCCACAGCTGCCCTGAGACACACTGACAGAAGTAAGGCACCACCACCAACCACACACACACACACACACGCACACACACCAGACTCATTCTAATGTGGGTGAAGTGTCTTGCCTAAGGACACAACCACAGTTAGACACTTTACAGCCGCAGCCGCCCCACTGTGGCACCTGGTGTTCCCAGGGGTCTCCCATCTCTCTTCCCTGCACAGTTCCAGGGGTCTGATGGAATCTGGCTTTCACATGCAAGTATGGCTTTTTATTACGACATTTCTAATCTACAAACAGATGCGGTCAGTTTATTTCCTCATGTTCATGTGATTTGTTGTTTTCCGTAGCAGTAGGTGCTTCAATATAATTGGTCAGGCAAAACTTTTCCCATGAAAAAGGTTCTGGGTGCGACATATGTTAAAATGCGTCAAAAACAAATTTGTTTGTGTGTATAAATTAATCTTCATTAATGCCCTAACAATAACACATGGTTATTGTCCTGTTTTTCACTGTGCTAGCAATCATATTCACATTAGTGCTACTTTATCCACACGTTTGTTGCCATTGACTGACATTGGGACATATCAAAAACACCTTAGCATGATTGGATTTCCAACACAGTATTCCCCTTTAATCTCACATATTCCACCCAAGCAGCAAGGTACAAATTTGGATTGTGCTGTATGTATTTATGCACGTCCCATACACCGACGACAGGACAATGTGCTTTTATAGCCCTGCACTTCCGTGTCCTTGGCCGCGTGCGTCTGTAGTATATAGGTCGCCTGTGCAAAACATATCACCCCATTATGTTGACAGAGCAGCCACCCCCCCTCTCTGGATGTTTACTGCCAATCCTACAGGTCTCCATTCCCGCAGTCATGGTGTATTCAGGAGGGATTTGAGGGGAAAGTGGAAGGAGATAGGCTGTAAGTGCTCCTACGGGAATAAGGGTCACCTCTTTAATCTAGGGACATGAAGGATCCCTCGCTTGTCGTACGAGATGTGGGGAGGTTGTCATCCGGCTTCGTAGCGTTAAAGCTGCTTGCAAACCAAACCGTGTACAAAAAGATGACAGGGCTGTTGTGGGTAATCTCGCCCCCTTTGTTGCTGAAATAACAACAAGAGGTCAGACACTGTTGGAGAGGACAATAGATCTTTATGAAGGTGTTTATGGAATCCTTGAGAAGCGGACACAAGCAAAGAATGCAGCATAATTTATACGTCATTTTAGCTTTCCCTCACAGTCAAGGGTAATCCACGCTTGGGACACTTTCAAAAGTACATTAAAGAAGAAAATCTACAGGCCATATTTTTGACAAAACACAAAAGATATGGTGAGACAAGAATCAAGGGTAGAACATAGACCTGGTTTTTTTCCTATGCTACCACCGAGGGGAAGGTCTAGAATGTATTAAGTATGGCATTTCTGACTTTAGCACAGATGAGTAAGGTGACAGTGAAAAAATGTGGTTTCATATTGTTTTTATATTAGCGCGGACACATTTAAAAACAAGTCTTATAAGGAAATAATGTTGTATAAGTGAGAAGCGTAAACAGTTGATTTTGGATAATGTAACAAAATGTACATCTAAATTTCATATACAGACATTTTTGAAGTGACAGAAAGTGGAACTATTCAAAGTTGCCCATCATAGACCAGAAAAAACCTTTGTGTTCTTTGGTTACAGACCATAAGATAGAAGTTGTTGGTGAAATCACCTCGTGTATGTAAATCTCTCACTCACGGCAAGTTTTTTTCTGACCTCATTCCATGTTGAACCACTTTCAGACAGTATTTCCTCGTATGGGATTGTTTGTACAAGAGCCACCAGCTTTTAATTATTCAGGCAGTGTGTGTGTGAGTGGATTGGAGTCGGTGGTGAGATCGATGAGGCTTCACGGGCACCACATCAGAACTGAGGAGCATCCATTCCGTTTATGGTGAGGAAAATTCTGTTTCTCATCATAATTGAACAAAAAACTCAAATTTACATCTCTTACTCCAAGTATTCCAAGTCAGGTCAGAGGGAACTGTACAGCATTCTGAAAAGTCACGAATTCTAAAAATACATGTATCATTTCAGGGTAAGGACTTTGCCGTCCCTTACCCTGTAGACCCAAGACAAAGGGAAACCTAGGAGCAGTGGTCAGCATACAGCACCTGGGGACTCTTCTCCAGACATTTAACCTATGTTTTTCGGAGGTGGTGGAAACCGGAGCACCCAGAGGACACCCAACTAGACCACAAGAGATGGCGCCCCGGTGCCTGCTGCCAACGATTGGCCGGGGTCATTACTGCTTGTTTCCGTTGTTTAGTTGCAAATTTTTGAGTTTTTGAGTCATGTACAATATTGTAGTTGTGAATATATGAGAAGATATATTGTATTTGTGTATGTTTTGACATGTGACAATATTGTTTGATTGTACATTGAACTCAAAAACTCGTCTCAACACAACATGGGGAGCAATTTCCAAACTTCACGCTGACTAACCACAGTGTTGCCATGGTGCAGTATGCAGTATTGTGTTGCTGTGTTTAGTTTATTAAGATTGTCATTAGTTACTCATATGCAGTGGGTACACTTCTGGGGGTCTCCTTAAAATCATTACATACTCTTACACTGTAAAATATACAACTCAAAATGTTTCACCTTACTAAGATTTTTGCATTCACTGACAATAAAATTGCCAGTTGGAAATGGAACTGTCTGTTTTGAGCCTCTTGAACTCACTTTCAGAAGTTTCTAATGAAAAGTTCATCTTATTTGATATATTAAGTTGATTTGACTTTGAAGTTGTAGTGAACTTCTGAAAGTGAGTTCAAGTGGCTCACAACAGACCGTTCCAGTTCCAACTGGTGATTTTATTGTCAGTGAATGCAAAAATCTGAGTAAGGTGAACAATTTTGAGTTGTCATTTTTACAGTTCACCGAGCCAGAGTGAGGTCAACTTATCTGCGTTTGCTCATTTAAATATGTGTTATGGCAACCAGCTGCATTCAACATTTTGAAAAAACTAATTTGACCAAAAAAATCATTGTATTTATTTTTACCAACCGTAATCGACAAGGCCAAACCAAAGTAGCCCTAGATATTCTCTGGGTCAGTCTTAAAAACATTAGTTTTCCCCACTAATCTGGTTCACAGTGTGTGCTGAGTGGATAGCAATCTCGCTTCTTGACACGAAGGTCCTGGGTTCGAATCCCGATCGGAATCAGGCCTTACTGAGTGGAATTTGCATGTTCTCTGTGTCTGCATAGGTGTCCTCCGGGTGCTCCGGTTTCCACTGCGCAAGTGACCTTG